AGGTTTTGATTTGCAATAAACTCAGCCTGTTTTAAATTGCAGTCTGTAGGAGAGAGGCTAGAATTTCTTCAGTATGTTTTGCCATTCTAGATATTATATAACCACAAGATATATTTTTATCATATGATGAACCATTAATCTCTGAGATATAGTGCTCACTGCAATTCAACATCATTTAGGGATATTTGACTTTAGCTTGTGTCACCTGTGCAGTGGCAGTAAACAAAAATATATTTTGGAGGCATTGACCTTTAATGTCTCTGGGCGTGGTCATTATCCTTTTACCACAAGCTTATCTGCCTTCTTTAAAATAAATTGTATTTGAGATCTCTCTAGTGTCACCTTACAATGTAAAATGGATTTATTTCAGACTGAGTTTAGACCCTAGTGACTTTCAGAAAATAATTACCTCCATTCTGGCTAGCCTCCCAGGAATATTGGCATTCCACAATAACACTATTATAAGTGACCTGGCTACAGCTGTTCCACGTACCCCCCCCCCCCATCAGTCTTATGCATGCATTCTTCTCTAGAAATGATCATGACCTACATCCATAAACGTTTCCTTGGATCACCAAAGGACCCAACAGAGTTGCCCCTTGAGCAGTACTATTAATTTCCTTCACAGTACAGTTAAGATATTTTATAGCTGGGTTCATATTTTATAGGTGGCATTAAGAGTGCTTACTGTATTTAAGGCAGTTTCTCAAATTTTAGCATGCATCAGAATCACCTGGAGGACTTGTGAAAACACTGATTACTGGGACCCGCTCCAGAGTTTTTAATTCAGTAGGAACGGAGAGCGGCTTGAGAATTTGCATTTCTAACAAGTTCCTAGATGAGGGTGATGCTGCTGGGTGGGGAACCACACTTTGGAGAAGCCCTAGTGTAAGACGTTGATTCTTACAGGCACTGATAGGACAGGGATAACTCATACCTCAAGGGGCTTGTGGTTTCATACGGAAGATAAGATATTTACATAAACAACACCACTGTGCCCTTAGGGGCTGACAGATGGAGTGAGTGGACAAGAGGAAAGTCAGCTATGACTTTAAGTTTATGAGATTAGGGAAGCCTTTGTGGAGGAGGTGGCAAATGACTAGAACTCGATAGATGAGTAGAATTTAGAAATGCAAAGCTGCAGGATGAAATGGAGAAAATACTCCAGCTGAAATATATTGCATTAAAAAACTGTAAAAGAAATTTCCATTTTTGACATTTATGAGACAATCAAAAAATTAAAATTGTTGAAATTTTCACTTGTCTTATAAATGTAAAAAATTGTATTTAAAAAATAGTTTTTAAATGTAACATGTTAATCAGTTAATGTTAATGTTTTTAATATGATAATGGTATTGTGGTTATATTAAAATGAGTCTAGGGGCTGGCCCCATGGCATAGCGGTTAAGTTCGCACATGCTGCTTCTCAGATGCCCGGGGTTCGCTGGTTCAGATCCCAGGTGCGGACATGGCACCGCTTGGCAAAAGCCATGCTGTGGTAGATGTCCCACATATAAAGTAGAGGAAGATGGGCATGGATGTTAGCTCAGGGCCAGTCTTCCTCAGCAAAAAGAGGAGGATTGGCAGCAGTTAGCTCAGGGCTAATGTTCCTCAAAATAAAATAAAATAAAATAAAATGAGTCTAACTTTCAGAAAGATGTCCTGAGATATTTATGAGTGAAATGACGTGTTGTCTGGGGTAGTGGATGGAATGTGGATATAACAGGATTGCTCAGTGGTTGATGGTAGCTAGGGTTCAATGATGGGTAAATGACAGGTTCATTATATTATTCTACTTATTTTTGTCTACGTTAGAAATTTTATGTATGTTAGAAATTTTAAAAATTGTAATAAAATTTTTAAAAATAGGAACTGTATGAACAAAATCAAGGAACTAACGTAGTGCAGGGTTGATTATTTATTTCTGCTGGAATATAAACAGTTTAAAGTAAACAATTAAACAACAAGGGTAAAATGGTAAATTGAGACCAAGTCACTCAAAGATTTGACTTGAATGCCACTAAGGAGTACGGGCTATGTTTTTGTGTGTGTGTGTTTTCATGTGAATGAGGAAGATTGCCACTGAGCTAACATCTGTTCCCAATCTTCCTCTTTTTGCTGGAGGAAGATTGCCCCTGAGCTAACATCTGTGCCAGTCTTACTCTATTTTTTGTATGTGGAATGCTGCCACAGCACGGTTTGAGGAGTGGTGTGCAGGTCCACGCCCGGGATCTGAACCCGTGAATCCCTGGGCCACCAAGTAGAGCATGTAAATTTAACCACTATGCCACCAGGCCAGCCCCTGGGCCATGTTTTTAAAATAGTGGAGGAACCCTGAAACTGTTCTGAACAGGGAAGCAATATAACAAAAGTGCATTCTGAGATTATAGTGGCAATGGTGGGCAAAACAGAGTGGGAGAGCAAGAGTCTGGAGGCAAGAACCAGGCGGTAAAGGCCTGAACAGAGATCTAGAAGATCAAAAAAGGGGAGGGGGAAGGGAGATATAGATGAATCTATAGTGTTGGCAACCAGTTACTATGAAAGTCATGAAAGACTCCAAGATTCTAAACTTGAGGACTAGGAGAACGCCAGTGCTATTAAAAGAAAAGGAATATTTAACAAGAAAATGATAATTTTGTTTTTTGAAATATCGCTAGTGGGGAATCCATGTGATATGACCAGCAGGTGGCTGGAAGTATGTGACCGGAATGCAGAAAACTGGGCAAGGCAGGACTGAATCTGAGAGACATCTGTGAGACGGGATAAGATTACCCTGGGAAATAAGTCAGCGGGAAAAAGAGTCAAGGACTTTGGGAACCATCTACATTTAGAGATTAGGGAAGAGAAGAGGAATCTGAGAAACGACTAGTAGAGAGGTAGAAGGCACAAAATTTCACATTCATGTAGGTACCTTAGCTCAGTGGCATCAACTATTCTGCCCACCACAATAAGATCAAAATTTAATTATTATAAATAAAAACCAACATTTTCTGTACACTCATGTTCATAAGCAGCATTATTCATAATGACCAAAAGGTGGAAGCAATCCAAATGTCTATCAATAGACGAATGGATAAGCAGAATGTGGTATATACACGTGTTACTGTCTCCAGAGAAACAGAAACGATACGTGTGTGTGTGTACAGAGAGAGAGAGAGAGAGAGGGAGAGATTTATTATGAGGAACTTGCTCCCGTGAGGACCATCTGGATGTTTCTGCCCACTCATAGTTGGAGTGAACGTAACAAAAATAGTCCACTAAAGAGGGCAGAAAAATGAGTCTGCTACAAGATGTTCACTTTTGTCTGAGATATAGTTGCAGCCTGTGTCAGTCATGAATATCTCAAAGCCTTGCTATGGAACTCTTTTTCCGTTTTGCTCATGCATCAGTTATGCTCTGCCAGATTCCATCAGGAATGCATTAGAGAGATGGTCCAAGCATTATTGCAAGCTGAGGGAAAAAATTGATTATCTCGAACTAGTAATGACCAAAAAAAATTACTGAAACTGTTTTCTGACTGTTAAAAATTTAGTATCCAAATAAAGAGTAAACAAAAAATAGTATCCATTATGCTGAAATTGAAGTTATTGTATTTGTGAAACATTGACAGATCATTAAATGGATAATGCTAAATAACCACACCTAACTGATTAATTAATTCAACCTGGATTGGGGTGGAAGTGATGTCATTATCCAGACAGCAGAACACATGTTTCCTTAAAATCAGGATTCTACGAGTAGTGTGATTGTCTTGTAATGGGGGCTATATGAATCCCCTCAGCTAAAGTTGGTATTCAATTGCAACAGTTTTTCTATTTCTTTGCTAACTTAAATTTTGTTCTATTTAAAGTCTTATTTATACGTGTTTTAATATGACAAGCTATCGCATAGGAAGTAAGTAGGATATAAATCATAAAAACAAGAAATCATTTTGAGTATTTACGTTATAGGGACCTATTCGAAGGCTCTTGCATTTATTCACTCTTTTAGTCCTCACACTGGGTATGCGAAGAAGATATTATTATTACCTTCACTTTACAGAAGAGGAAACTGAGGTCCGAGAGACCAAGCAAGTTGCCCACAGTCACACACAGTAAACGAAGGAGGCTAGATTTCAAACCCGGGCTGTCTTATTGCAGAGCTGGAGCAGGTAGCCACTGTGTAATTAATTAGAGAAGTAAACTGCCTACAGGACATTAACATTTGATTAATATCTCCAACAATAGCCTCTCAAACTCAACATATTAAAATTATAGCTCATTCTACCTCTGTCTCCTGGCAACACCCCTCCCCGACACACCAGCTATACGGTGAAGCCAACTTCCATTCTGCCAGCGGTATCACCATTCTCTCAAACATCTGGGCTAAAAAGTGAATTACCTCTGACTTCCCCTTCTCCTTTTCGCTTTTATCTGCAACACAGCCAGTCAGAGAGGGCAGGTACCAAGAATCTTGACTATTCAAAGTTTTCTGTCACTGAGTTTCTACTGGGGCAGAGACTACTAGTACTAGGTACTGCCTTTTGATGTTTCTGTTTTAATTTACATGGTCAAAAACAGAGAATCAGGAAATTTTGGAAGTGTTAATATTAGAAGCCAATAAACAGTTATATTGCAGCCATTTCCCAGTGAAGAGTTATTGAATGATGAGACAAATTAAATAGTATTTTTATTCGCGTTATTATTTTTAATTAGCTTTTTTAAGCTACGGGTAGTATCAAAGAAGAGGGTATATACTTGGCCACAGAATACAATTAAAGTCCAATATTTATATTTGCTGCAGAACCTTTATTTGAAACTGATGAATGACCTGTCCTGACGAACGGCTGGCTAGTCTTTCAGGTACTAATACTTTCCGAAGCCAAGATGAGAGTCGGTAGTCTCTCAGAAAGAACTACAAATCCCAGAATGCCCTTTTCCCTGTCTTTTTCACGAGAATCCCAGAGGGCTAGATCAACCAATCCCTTCATGGAGAGACTTTGCTATCAGCCAATCAGGAGGCGAATGGGCGCCTGCAGGCGGGAGGAGGAAGGCGCCCTGGGTTTGAAATACGAAAGTTGGCGCGGCTGCGGGAGCTGGGTCTAGAGGCGAATTGTTAACTCAGATCTGTTCAGGTCTCGTGTGGGGAAGGCGGCGGGGCTCAGGCCTGCCGGAGAAGGTGAGGGAGGTGGGAGCTGGGCTGAGCTCCCCGAACCGCCTGTCGCGATAGGGGAAAGTGGGTTTGGGGGTGAATATGTGTTTTCGCGGGCGACAGCTGCGAAATGCACGTCTTGCTGTTTGGGCGTCTAGGCCTCGCGGGGTGGGCAGCGGCGAGGCTGAGGGGTTTTGTGTTACACCGAACGAGATGTCTGTGGCCCCTCTGGGAAGATTTTAGGTCATCGGGAAGGTTTTAGCGTTACAGAGAACCGGTGGGACCTGAGTCTTAAAGGACATCCTTTTACAGAGAACACTGAGGCCCACGAGTGGAGGTGACTTGTACAGGTCCTAGACTAAACCCACTAAACTCCCACTTCCGTCTCCCTTTTACTGCTGCCTTTCCTGATCTGGAATGAGCGGGAGAAGCAGGGTAGATGTGTGGGGTCATACCGTGTGGGAGGGGGCCGGCCATCTGGGACCTGACGATCCGGGCTGGAATTGAAAGAGTCAGAGTTGAAGGGGCTTTAGAAGTCACCAGTTTTACTTGTGGGAAAACGGAGTTAATGTCATTTCCCCAGGGTCATAGAGCTTGTAAGTGTCCTGTGCAATTACCTTCCTAAGGATTCCCAGGAGGTAAGAGTTTCCTGAATTCTTCCTGAGCCTTAACCATAGTTAAGTCCAGGTGGCTTGATCTGCTTTGGGATATCTAGAGTTAAAAGTAAGTTGCTAACCATTTTCTAGCAAAAGTCATACTGCCGAGATATATGTGATTGGGATATGTGGTTGATACAATTTTAATAACTTAAAAAATACAGTGTGTGTTCTGTTTGTAGCAGTTTTACAAAATGGTAGAGGACGAACTGGCACTATTTGATAAAAGCATAAATGAATTTTGGAATAAATTCAAAAACACGGTCAGTGACACCTCCTGTCAGATGGTGGGACTAAGAGATGCCTACAAGGACTCCATTAAAGCATTTGCAGGTACCTAAAGTTAACTTGTAACATGCTGTTTCTGTTGTTCTTGTTTGTTTGTGTTATTTCACCTGAATTGAAACTTAAATTTCAATTTATCTTTCAGAAAAGCTGTCTGTGAAATTAAAGGAAGAAGAACGAATGGTTGAGTTGTTTCTGGAATATCAAAATCGTATGTGACAAGCTGTAGACCACAGAGTTTTTTTTAGATTAAACATCTTTATGAAATCCCTCATACAAATGAAACAATATTTTGTGTGTATGTGTGTGTGTATATATCTACATAGATTACAAAAATAATAAACATTTATGTATCCACAACCCAGATTAAGAAATAGAACATCCCATGTTATACCTTCCTTTTCTCCCACCTTCCAGAACTAACCTATCAATATTTTGTTTAGTATTGTGTTTTTGAATGTTATATAAGTGGCATCATTTTTGTATTCCATCCCTTCTTCACTCAGTGTTATTCTCCTTGTGAGATTCATCTTTGCTGATGTGTAAATGCCAGTATTTTTTTTTAATGAGTTTGTTTTCCCATTGGAAATCACAGACTTGGGTTCGAAAAGCTGGAGTTCTCTCAGCTTTGTGGTAGTATGGTTAGTAACTCTGACAGTTTTTATCCATATTTTTACTACTCTTCTTGCCTTCTCATTTCTGCCATTCTGGGTTGTCCAGAGTGGATCAGCAGTTTTTATTGAATTCTTGCATGCAAACCACAGATTTGTGGCCACAGGCCAAATTCCACTGCAGATACTAAAATTAGCAGCACCATGTTTTAAACACTAATAAATTAGAATGGCTTTGCATGGGGCATGTGTTCTCTAATTTGCCACAGTCCCTGATAGTTTCTTTTGCTTTGCTTTGCCCACTTTACTCATTGTCTGACCCCTGAGGGCATTTGATTTGGTAACCCCTGGTTGACTGTTATGCTAGACTTTTACCCATGTTTACTTTCTAAGCTGCCCTGAAGCTTCCATAGCCTATTACTGCCTCTCTTCTTCCCTCTGTAACCATAGCAGGAAGGAAAACCACTTTTGTTTGTGCGTGCATGTGTGCACATGTGTGTGTATGAGTGATATTGAGTTTGGGTCCTTTAAATACTCTTGGTTTATAGAATCCCTAGGGATTAGAAAATTAAGTTTGAAACTCAGTTTTTACTACTATGTGTCTCAAACTCTGCCCCCCCTTTTTTTTTTGCTGGGGAAGATTCGCTCAGAGCTAACATCTGTTGCCAATTTTCCTCTTTTTTTTATGTGAGCTGCTGCCACAGCATGGCTGCTGACAGACGAGTCGTGTGGTTCTGTGCCCGGGAACTGAACCCAGGCTGCCAGAGCAGAGCACGCCAAACTTTAAGCTCGCTACCCTAGAGAAGGTCACATAGAGGAGGGTTAGGGAAGTTCATCAGGTTCAGTGCTATATTCTAGAAGAGGGGAACAGCATAGGAATGCGGCAGAAACATGAGAGTTTGTGGAGTTCTGGGATGACTCGAGTGCAGTGTGAATGGGGAGTGGCTGGTCAAATGATGAACTACATTGTATGTTGGGCAGAGGAATTTGGGCTTTGTTCTTCAGGAGACTAAGGAGTTGCTACGGGATTTTAACCTGGAAAATGGTATGGGATTTGTATTTCAGAAAAAGCACTGACAGTGTCATGCACAATAACCAGGGAAGTGAGATGGTGGGCCATAAAGAGACCAGTTAGAGGAACAAGCTAGTGCAGTAGTTCAGGCAAACAGTGAGGATGGTTTGGGCCAGTGACAGCACTGAGGAGGTAGGCTCACGACTGATGGCCTGGATGTGGGCGTGTGATGTGGCTGGGATGATTCCTTCTAACTTGGACTAGGTCAGTGGTGATGCATTTACTAAGTGAGGGGTTAGAAGAGATGGAGCATGTTTTCAGGGGTGGGAGGGAAACGTAGATGGGTTCAATTTTACATGTGTTGAGTGAATATGCCAAGTTACTGTGCCGTGGGCTTTGCAGGTGGAGATGTCTGGTAGGCAGTGGATCTGGAGGCCAGCCAGCAAAGTGGTCTTTGCTGAACATAGAGATTTGGGAGTCTTCATTGTATTTGCGGGTTGAAGCTATGGAAGAATGTGTAGAGTGAAAGGAAATAGCCTAGGATAGTAGTTAATATTTATTGTTTTTACTATATGCCAGGTACTGTGCTGAACTTTATATATACCATCTCTTGTCTCCATTTTCATATCAGTTCTCCAAAGAAGGTCTTCTTATTGTTATTCTCATTTCACCGATGAGATTACTCACTCAGAGAGAGTGAGACTTTTTTCCAGATCGTCAGATTGACTCAAGAGGCCTTGCTCACGCTCAATCGTTGCCTGCCTGTAATCTGAGAGGGAGGTAAATGGAAAGGACCAGGAAAGGCAGAATTAGAAACTGGAGAGCATAGAAGTAAGAGAAAAGACAGAAACTGGAATAGGAAAGAACCAAGACAGAGGGTGTTGTCAACACTGGGAAGTCACAGGTATATCCAGTAAGATAAAGCTGAAAGGCTCTCTGTATGTAGTCATTTGGAAGAAAATGACCTACAGTGAGCCGGTTTTAGTGGAGTGTTGGCAGAGGTCCCATTGGAGTTAGGAGATGAAGAAGTAGTGTGGAAGCTTAAATGGAAGAGATGGCAGCTACACTGGGACAGAGTGATATGGGTGAACTTTTCCTTTCATTTCTAAGGGTCCACCCTAAAATGAGCATGGTCATTTGCTGCGGGAAAGAAGTTGGAGGAGAAGCACATGTTGAAAAAAGCAGGAGATAATTAGGATAGAGGGAAAGGAATCTGGGTTATAGATTAGCCTTGGATTTGAAAAGGAGCAGCTGTTACTCTGGCAGGAGAGAAGCTGCTGATAAAGGTACGTTGTGGGAGTAGGGAAGATTGAGGGAGCTCATTCACTCCCCACGTATTTGTTAAGCGGCTACTCTGTCAGGTGCTCTTCTAGGAAGATAGAGAACAAATTAGCCAAAAATTCTGGCCCGCCTGGGACATGTGTTCCTTCCATTTATCACAAGGAGGAAGATCATCTATTGCAAGTGAGAAGTATCTGCTGTGGGCCACGCTCTTCAGTGATCTTAAATCCTGAAATCTGTACAAGACAGACAGTATCCCTGTTTTGCAGATGAAGAAATTGAGGCTCACTGAGGTTAGGAGACTTGCCTGAGGTCATACATTTTGTAGATAGAAGATCTAGGATTGTAGCCAAAATGTCTATGCTCCTTCCAGTGTACCTCACTGACCTTTCTCAGTGGCAAGAAAGCACAAGGGAGGGCTCCTATGCTGAGTAGTAGTGAAAGTTTGAACTATTGGCCCTGGAGAATGAGACAGCTGACTATATACTCTTAAAATAATAGCCACGCAATACCAAGGGCCCTTAGATTTATCTTGGGACAAATCCACACAGTTCTTCAAATGTTAGAATAGAGACACAGACGTGGGATTTATGTATCACTTAGGAGTTTAAAACTTTTTACACATTATTACTGGATGCTCTGTGAGGCAAATAAATGGGGCAGCTATTGTTATCCATGTTTTACAAATGAGGAAAACAGTCGAAGTTGTGGTTTGACCAAGGTCCTTGGGTAATAACTGAGGCGGCTGATTGCAAGTGAGACCTTTTGACTTTAAATCTGCATCTCTTTTGTAGTATGAGTCTACTTAATTTCCTTTAAAAAGTAGAATTTTTCTTCCTAGTAATTCTAAGTTGTTTATTTTTAAGTTATACTTGATATAATATATAATCGTGTCCAAATTATTGGAAATACAGAAAAGTAAACAAAAAATATTACCTATAATGTTGAGAACCACATCAAAGTGACTTTCTAGTTTTTATTTCTTCTGTGCTATGTAGTTTTTTTAAAGATAATTTTGTTCCTAGTGTCTGTATAGCTTTGTGTGATTTTTTTCCTTTATCTACTTTGAGAGTATTTTCCCACATTACTAAATTCTTTAAAAATATATTCTACCTTCTTGACACACCATATTTTTTTAATAATTTACTTGTTAGACATTTAAGATGTTTTCAGCTTTTCACCATTATAAGTAACACTGAAAATAATTTTTGTATGTAAATATTTGCACACATCTTGTTTTCTTAGGGTAACTTTGTAAAAATGAAATTACTGAATCAAAGGACATGAATTTCCTAAAGAATTTTATTTTTCAATGTCAAAAATATCTTCCACCAGGACTCTAGTATTTTGCATTCTTTTCAACGCTAGCTATTCTTGTAAACATTATTGTAATAAATGAAAATTGGTATGTTGTTGCTTTATTTGCATTTCTATGATTGCTGCTGAGGTTAAATTATCTTTCATATTCATCAACCATCTGCATTCTGTGTTTCCTCTGTGTATTCCTTTGTTTTTTTCTTAGGAATTTATATTTTAATTTTATATTTATATTTTAGATTAAGAATAGTAACCCATTGTTGGGGGAGGAGAGTTTAATGGTCAGAAGCACGGCCTTTGCATCTAGGTCATAACTATTGGTTGCATCCTAGCAAAGAAAGCTTTGGGCCAGTGGCTCAACTGCTGTCTTTTCCCCCTTCTTTTAAACAAGAGACTAAGACCTACATAATAGTACTATTGTGAAACGTAAGTAAATCTCTATAAATATAAGGTGTTGAACAAAGTACCTAGATATAATAGAGTTTTATGTTTATTTGAATCAAATATGAATTTTTTCACCTGCATGTTAATTTTAAGTAGCCAGTACATGCCTTTCTCTGATTTCTTTTTGCCTTTGAGTAAAAAGATCTTTCCCCATGGAGTCAATTTTATATTCACAGATACTGCCTTTTAGGTTTTGTAAGATTTCGTTTTATATTTAAATATTTAATAAATATGGAATTTATTTTGAATTTTAGCACTGTTTAGGGAACAATCTACCTGTTAACTTATGATATTTTGCTTATCATTAATTTCCTAAAAGTACCAACATTTGGGAATGTCTTTTTTGTTTAACTCAGCTGTATGTCAGTTCTTCAACTATCATACCGCTATTGTATTAATAGTGTCACAATCTGGGATATTAAATCTAATAGGGCAAGTCTCTTTCCTTGTTAGTTTTTTTTACCATATTTTCTTAACTGTCCTCACCTGTGTATTCGTCAGATAAATTTTGTAATTACTTTTGTTAGACCCTCCCTTTCCCTTTCCTCCCATTTCTCTTAGGGCTGCACTAAACAGAAGTGAATTTGGGATATGTCAGCATCTTTATAATATTGAGAAGCATAAAATGTCCCTCATATATCCAGGTCACATATATGTCTCAGATGAGTATTGCATTTTTTCGCATACAGAGCTTACATATTTCTTGATCTGGATTATTCTTGAATGTTTTGTTTCTTACCAGTGTAAATGAGATTTCCCCCTTCCTTCCTCCTTGCCTCCCTCTCTTCTTCCTTCCCTTCTTTCTCTCTTTTTGTCATGTTCCAGGATCATTTATATAGCAGTAGAATTAGCTGTTTCTTCAAGGCGCTATAAAGCCATCTTCCAGAGCTTGTCGTCTTTGGTGGGGTGTTTATTTATGTACTTATTTGAAGGGGAGAGCTGCAAAGGTCGTGACCTTCTGATTTTCTGTGTCTTGGTTTAATTTGCTATTCTCATTTTAAAAAGCATTTTTGTCTCTTATTTTCAAAGATAAATAGGAAAGAATAGGATTTTTTTTGTTCTTTTACAATGTTGAATCATTCGGAAACACTTATCAATTAAACCATTCTTTATTATCTTATGAAAGTCAGTATGTTGGTCTTTTCTTAGATACATGTCACAGAGCAAAGCATATGTATTCTAGGTAAAACTTTGTGCTTCTTACAGAGATCTGCAGGCAGAATAAGCTCATTCAAGAAAAAAAAGATAACTTGTTAAAGTTGATTGCTGAAGTAAAAAGCAAGAAGCAGGAATTGGAAGTACTGACTACAAATATCCAGGATCTTAAGGAAGAATATGCCAGGAAGAAGGAGAGTAAGTTTCCAGTGTACACATTTAAAACATTAATCTAAATTTCACAGTGGTGACGGTTCACAATTATTATGTGTATCTCTCCTTCTCTCCAGTATCTCAGGGGCATAGTCTGCCACTCATCTCTGCACAGTGTCTGAAGTTAGCTAAGTGGGTTTTATTTTCTTTTGTTTTACTTAAAGGTTCTTTTGATTTCTATTAAAACCAGAGAATAATGAGATTGATATGAGAGTTTAATTAATCAGAGTGGGAGACAGTTTCACTAAATAAGATTTGCCTAGGAGAAGCCATAGTGTAATTTATGGAACAGATTTATTGATCACTCATTCTCTGCCAGGAGCTATTAAACAAGCTCCTTATGGCTGCAAAGCCTCTTTGTCTAAAAAACTTTCATATTCAAATAAGTACTCCCTTTCGAAAGGAGCCTCGTTCATCCACAAAGGAAGTAATCAATTCTCAAATCTCTTGAAAATAGCAGTTTGTTTTGTTAATGCTTTTTCTTACAGAGTTTGCATGCAAGTCTACATTATTCTTCTCATCTGCTAGGTATTACTTAGGGAATATTATGCTAACTTAAAAAAAATCTAAACTAGCATGAAATAAAGCTGACTTCTTGTAAGAAATACTTCTGTTTAAAAGAATGGAATATTTTTCCAGTAAAGCAATTGATATATTCCTGGCTAGCCAGAAAAAGCAGAATAGTATAAAGGAAATCTTTCTGTTTGTCTGTTAGCTAGGTTCGTACTTCATTGATTGGCTTGAGATTTAGTCATCAGCAAAGTCCAATTTCACCAGTCCTTACAAAGAGGATATTCTTGTCCTTACTGACTTCTTGAAATGGTGGTGGTTTGATCCAGTTTGGAAGATAGAGAAAACGAGACAGGCAAGGCATTCCTCTGAAGTGGCTGCTCCAGCTCTGTTTCAATATGGCTCCCCTCATGTTGTCTTCTACACTTGGCTACGCAGAAAAAGCAAAATAATATAAAGGAAGTCTTTCTGTTTCTCTGCTAGCCATGCACATCCTTGGCCTATTTATTTGTGCTACTGCATAATAACATAAGACAAAACTTACTTCTCTCACTACCTGTTCATGTTTTCTCATGCAGTTTTTCTTTCCAACTTGAATGCACAGAAGCCCCTTTTGCTAATTGGTAGAGATAGAAACTGAATAAATGTAAGCAGATCATGTGCCTGGCATTATTTTTATAGTTGTTTTCAACTTTAAAAAAAATGAATTACATGAGCATTGATTGAGTGTTGTTTAAAATGTTTGATATTCTGTGTGTTTTTTAATCATAGCTATTTCCACTGCTAACAAAGCTAATGAAGAGAGGTTGAAAAGGCTACAGAAATCTGCAGACTTGTATAAAGATCGACTTGGACTAGAAATTCGGAAAATTTATGGTAAGTATATTAATGTAGGTAAAACATAGGAGATTAGAAAAGTATGTGTTTTCTTAAGTAGAGGACAATTTAAAAAATATTTTCAACTAAAATAATGATCGCGTTGTTAACTTTTTAGAAAATAGGAAAAAGTTACAGAATGCTTATCACCCTTACATAATTACTGATGTCTTCCTTATTTATCATCCAGTATTTTGATAAATGTATTTTAGGCATAGTTGCCAAAATGCAAATAATTTTTGTTTCTTGTTCTTACTGTCATTGTATGATTAGCATTTCTCTGTTGCTATAGCCTTCAAAATGATAATTTTAAAATGGTGATATGATAATTCATTCCATTAATATAGCATAATTTATTTAATTTTTTATCTATTATTTAACACATGTGTTGCTTCTAACCTAACTTTTGGATTCTGCCACTATTTCAGTTTTAGAAATACTACAGTGAACATAGACGTCTTCATTTCTTTTGTATAATTCCCATGGAATTCCCGGAAACAGACTACTGGGTTAAAGCATGTGAATATTTGTATGTTAGTTACATGTGTATGTGCTAATTTACAGCAATACCTGTTGTGCTGGGAGTCCCCAAGATCACCCTCAGGTTTGGTGATTCACTGGAAAGATTTATAGGACTCAGCATGTAGTCCTGTTCATGACTAAGACTTATTGAAGCAAAAGGATACAAAACAAAATCAGCAACCACCCCCCCCCCCCCGCCCCCGAAAAAGGCACATGGGGCAAAGTCCAGAGAAAACAAGCTTTTCAGGCACAATTTTCAGGAGTCCTAACTCAGTGGACCCACAGAGGACATGCTTAATTTCTTCAGCATCAAATTGTGATAGTGCATGTGAAGCGTTGTCTACCAGAAATGCTCATTAGACTCTGGAAGCTTGTGCTGGTTTTCCCTGGACTTCACCCTATGTCTTTCCCCTTTGCTGATTTTACTGTATCATTTCTCTGTAAGAAATCGTAGCCCAGAGTACAACCGTATGCTGAGTCCTATGAGTCCTCCTGGTGAATCTTCACACCTGGGTGGTCTGGGGGCCTCTGACACACCAGCCAAGGACCAACCTTGCAAGCAGGCCTTTCTGAGGTTCCAGAGATGACGGTCTCAGTCTTGCTGTGTTAACTCTTATGACACCTGTCTACAACGTAAAGAGTACCCATTTCATTGTAGTCTTGCCAGAATTATAGTTTTTAAAATTTTTGTTCTAAATATAAATATCAAAATATAAATAAAAAGTTTTATTTTTGGCAATTGACTAGATGTAACTGGCACTTTAGGAATGCATTTCTTTGATTATTAATAGGTGACCATTTCTTTCCTGATTATATTTCTTTCTTTGATTGTTTGGGCCTTTTATTCATATATCTATTAGTCTTGGTCTTTTTCCTATCTGTTGGAATGAGTTTTTAATAAAAAATATTAACCTTTTGATTAGAGGAGAAGTTTTGATCCGTTGGACTCTTGGTATATATTCACTGTCATCCTGAGATGCTTTTTGTTTTGTTTAGTTTTGTTTCAAAACCAGTTTTAAAGCATTAAAATGTTTTTTGGATTTAAAGTAGAACTTTCTCATAGCCCTCAAAGTCAGGAAATAATGTTTTAAAGAAGAAATAATACAAATTAAACCCTTCATTTTGCCTAACTGAATATCTTATAAAGTCTTCTTTTCTTGGCATGCATCTCTCCCATTGCTATTAACAGTTTAAAAAATCTGGTGTACTGACGTGATTGTTTCATCTTGAATTTAAATGCAAGACAACTTTTCAAAGTTTCTGAAGACTTCTTTTTATAATTAAAAGCATTTTTTATAAGATTTCCTATTTAGTTTTGCATAAAAACTAAAATACAGGTGAATTTCTACTTTGTGGCTGCCAGTTTGAATTTCTACCAGGCATTTACTTCTTTGTGAGCATTTGGAGGTCTTTTGGAAAATAGGCTTTAAGTCCAGACAACCATGTAGAAAAAGTCAAATTAAATTTGTTTGACAATACATTTTATTTATTCACGGCAAAATATATATAACATAGAATTTGCCATTTTAACTATTTTTTATTGTGCAATTCAGTGGCGTTAATTACATTCACAGTGTTATGCAACCATCGCCACTATCTATTTCCAGAATTTTTCATCACCATAAACAGAAACTGTGCCCATTAAATAATAACTCCTCATTCTCCCCTCTCCACAGCCCTTGATAACCTCTGATCTACTTTCTCTCTCTACGAATTTGCCTAGTCTAGGTATTTCATATAAGTGGAATCATATAATATTTTTCCTTTTGTGTCTGACTTATTTCACTTAGCATAATATTTTCAAGGCTCATCCATGTTGTAGTGTATATCAAAATTCCGTTCTTTTTTATGACTGAATAATATTCCGTTGTATGTATACAGATTTTGTTTATCCATTCATCTGTTGGTGGACACTGGGTTATCACCTGTGGCTGCCGTGAATGCTACTACTATGAACATCGGCGTATAGTTATCTCAGTCTCTATCTTCAATTCAATAGAATTTCTGGGTCATATTGTAATTCTTTATTTAAACTTTTTTGAGGATGCCAAACTGTTTTCCACAGCTGTAGCACCATTTTACATTCCCCCCAACAATGTACAAGGATCCTAAACTCTCCACGTCTTCACCAACACTACTCTTTTCTTTTCTTTCCTTTTTTTGTTTTGTTTTGTTACAGCCATCCTTGTAGGTGTGAAGTGGTATCTCATTGTTGTTTTGGTTTGCATTTCCTTAGTGATTAGCGATGTTGAGCATCTTTTCGTGTACTTATTGGCTGTTTGTATCTGTTCTTTGGAGAAATATCTATTCAAGTCCTTTGTCCATTTTTGAATTGGGTTGTTTTTGTTGTTCAATTGTAGGAGTATTTATATTTCCTATATATTAAACTCAGATATATAATTTGCAAATATTTTCTCTCATTCTGTGGGTTATCTTTTCACTCTTGGTAGTGTCCTTTGAAGGGCAAAACTTTTTAATTTTGATGAAGATCAATTTATATGTATTTTTTTCTTTTGTTGTGCTTTTGGTGCCACATTTAAACCACAATGCATTTTAAAACTAATTTGTAACTTGGACCTTTGGAGACATTGGTTAAGTGAATATATATACTTAGCAGTGTAGATATTGATCAGAGATGGAAGTAAGAAAGCTCTTCTCCATTGAAAGCTTAGCACAATGAAATATTCTCATGCTAAATAATTTAATCTCTTTTTTCAGGTGATAAATTGCAGTTTATATTCACTAATATTGACCCTAAGCATCCTGAGAGCCCATTTATGTTTTCCCTGCACCTAAATGAAGCAAGGGACTATGAAGGTATGTGCTCCTATCTCCTAACTGGTATTTAAGATTGGTGTCCCAAAATGTTATTTGAATCAGAATATAAAGTTATACGAAGGAAAGTAATGGTCCCACAAGCTATTGCTCTCTTTTTCAGTCTTGCTTCTTGAGACATTGTCTTCTAAAGGCTGTGAGTATAGTTTTGATTTATAGATAGTGTCTAGGGGCCTTAATAAATAACTTCTCTTCAGGATGGCACAGTACCACAGTGGCTGAAAAGTCTGAAAGACAAAAGATCCCTGAATTTCATGTGCAAGTGTGAATTAACCTTCTAGGGAACTTAAAACAAGGCTAAAGCTATAAGGGATATGACTGCTTAAATGTGAATATTATAATTTGTCCAAGTAGGTGATTTTAAAATTAAATGTTAAATCATCAGAATGTGATAAGTTGTTTTCCAAAAAATAAATTAAAAAAAAAATTATCCTGTCCTGAAAATCCCACGTATTGATAATTTAGCTTAGTTGCTGATTCTGCAGCAGGTCAGAGGTCTTTAGTGTATGGGGAATGCATATGGTTGGTGAACAAGAAGAGAATGGAAATATATTTATCTCTTTTTTTATTCTTCTAATGCCCCGTTTAAAGTAATCCTTAATTTATTGGAATTCATAAAAATGGTTCTGAGCTCTTTGTACCTCTGTTCTCATCTTGAAGCATTTATGATAGCACTCAGGAGAACTGCTGTCACTCTCTAAGGTGCCCTCGTGACTCAATTCATATTCTGATGGAACTTATATTTTAGGAATCTAATTCAGGTACAAATTTTTTTCTCTCTAGGTAAATATCTTCTATCTAATGAGTGCTAAATTTTAAAAAGCAAACCCAAAAAACCTCTTACCTAGCATTTCAATTTTCTCCAAATTGGATCTCCTCTATTGTTAGATAGTCTCATAATATTTGATAGAATCCACAGTATAAATTTTGAACCAGGTGCTCTTTGCCATTCTTTCTCTGCTTTGGTCCTGGGCCTTGTAGTCTAAGCAATCTCTACCAAAGAGCTGGAAATCTGATAGGGGCCAATTTCTTCCCCTTGGACAAAGGACAAGACCGATAGTAGGAAAGGCTGGATCGTTCTTTTCCTTTGACCACCCTCACTGGAGACCTGCTCCCAGTATGTACCAGCTGGTATGACTACATATGAGGGCCATACTGGTCTTTGTGACTTTGAGTCTCATTTGCTTAGTAAGCCCTGTAAACACCACTTTTGGAATAGCTAATGACCTCCATTTCACTTGTAAAACTTGAGATATTTCTCTCCATAGTTGTACGTTATTAAGAGTTGCTATTGAAAGTTGTTCTTTTTTTGATCCAATGGTCAGAAACTAGAAGTCAGACTAAAGTTTTGCAAGGAAAACTGACTTAGTTAAAACAAACGAAAAAACCCCTGACTGTTAAACAGTTTAAGTGGTTAAAACAAAATGTATAGAAGAGGTGATGGAAAATGGCATTCTGTTCTGTATCACTAAGATCTTCAGTCCCTTGACTACCATCTGTTTAAATTTTAAAGCAAGATTATAGTACTTAACATTTGAATATTTAGAGATTAAAGAAAGGAAAGGTCCAAAGAAAGTTAGGATATGAAAATCAAGTGTCTATATCATTCTATGCTCAAAGCAGTTCGTTAAAATGAAATGAGTTGACTCAGATGAGAGTATTTAAATTAGAAATGCTTCTCTTCCATAAAAAATCTCATTCTAATTGTCTTCTGTTTCCCTCCCTTCTAGTGTCAGATAGTGCTCCTCATCTGGAGTGCCTGGCAGAATTTCAGGAGAAACTAAGGAGGACCAACAATTTTTCGGCTTTTCTTGCCAACGTTCGGAAAGCTTTTACTGCTATGGTTTATAATTAATGTAAATAGTATATAAAAATTGTTTATTTTTCTTTCCTATCGTGTATCTCTTTTAAAAAGAATTTTCATTATTCATTATTTGTCTGTAATCTTTTTGTATTTTTGTAACATTTCTGTGTGCTGTTTTCTTTAAATTATTTTAATTAAAATCTTAGGACAGAAACTTTATAAAGTTAAATATGTTCTTTTTAAAATGAAAGATAGCGGGGCTAGCCCTGTGGCCTAGTTGGTAAGTTTGGCGCGCTCTGCTTCAGTGGCCCGGGTTTGGTTTCTGGGGGCAGGACTACATCACTTGTCAGCAGCCAGGCTGTGGCAGCGACCCACATACCAAGCAGAGGAAGATTGGCACAGATGTTAGCTCAGGGTGACTCTTGTTCAGCAAAAAAAGAAAGAAAGATAGTATAAAAAATATGTATATATTTGTATATATATATATATATTTAATGGCAGGCATGGGTAGTTTATGGCTAGCCCGGGAATGGGGATTTGTGCAATCTGCACTGTGTCTCAGTGATTTCCAAGCTTTTGAACGTCACAGACTAGTCATATTAAAAATAACGAGGAGGGTGGGACAAGCCTAGAGTTGGGCAGTTTTTGAAATGTGCTTCACAAAATGAATAGTCATCCTAATATCATAAAGGAAAGAATATTTTTATCTCACACCAAGGTGGATCTTCAGTTAAAATAAAGGACAAACCTTCATATCAGAAGAAGATTGGCAGTATTCTACTAAGACATCTAGAAAAGGATCTAATTTTGAAAATCCAAATGTGGGAAATTTACAACCAGTTTCCATTTTGTAATATTTATGGTCTGGATGTAAGTTTGCCATTTTTGGAGTCTCCAACACAGACCACAACACAAGTATCCACTTCTAGGGTTGCGTTTTTGTCACCATTCTTTCCTTGTGAGTTTGGTTTTATTTAGGTATGTTGGCTGTAATGGAAGTCACATAATACTATTTCAGGATATCGTGGAACCTAAAAGCCGTGAAACATTGGCCTCCGTGCCTCTAGTTCCTTCTGTCTTCTCCCTGAAGTCTGGAAAAAAGTTCAGGCCAGTTGTCTAGTTAGAATAGGAAAGGAATATATATTTTTTTTTATGGTAAATATTTTTATTGTTAGTTTTATCAGAAAAACTTGTATGACAATTTCTGATGCATAAGTTTATCAGAGCCAGAGATGATCATTTCTTCTAGAAAAGCAACCCTCTGAGGTTAGAATGGAAGGCAAAGAAAAAACAGATTTCACTTTAGAATTTACTGTCACCAAGCCCTCAGCAGCACAACTCCTTTATATATCACTTGAACATTACATAGCAAGTCATCAACAGAAAACAGACCAAAAACCTTATATCCTTACTCTTCCAGTCAATCATCAAATTTTCTTAGATCTCTGAAAACACGAAAATAAAAATCATTTCAATAACAGCATCCAAACACCATAGACGTTGTAATGAGGTGCAGCAGTCCAACTTTAGGCCTCCTATTGTCCAGATTTCAGCTGAAATAGCCTCCATCGGTTTCTTAGATTTTATCACCTTGTTTGGGAGGCCTGGCCTTGCTGGGCCTCAACAGACTACAACACTAAACACGTTAATGATCTATACTGAGAATGCGGTGTGAGTGGGTTTCTAACTCTTCGGGGACTCGAGTGGGAAGATGACGCACCCCGTGAACACAGCCGAGTGCCCCTGGGTCGTCCCTGAGCTGGGCTGTTTGACACAATCACTTTTCCTCAGAGGCCAAAGTCTGCGGTTTGATCTTCCTGGCGGCTTCCAGAACAGAATCCACGTTTAGGAAGGGAATATTTTAACGGGGAGGAGAGTGAGTAAACTATCCAGCTTTCCTAGGCAGACCTTCGCATTTGGCCTTATTGTTTGACATACCTACATTTAAATGAATACATAAAACCATATCAAAACCCAACTTTGGTTTTTGTGGATGTAGCTTGATTTGGAGCTCAGATTCTATCAGCTATTTCTTGTAGGATTCTTAGCTCTTTCTTCTGGGTTGAGTCTCCATGTGGTGGAGCTCAGCAATTTCAAGCTCATCCCAATCCCTGAACCAATCACTGCGGATTGGGGGGTAAGTACATGCCTTGGATTAGACTAGATCCCCATGAAACCCAGTTGTGGAGGTAGATTAACCTCAGCAACTGAGTTAAGAGTGGGGATGTTACAGTTCTCTAAATAGAAAGAGACTAGATGTTTGGCATCAAAAAATAACAGATGACTGCTAGAGTCAGTACATATTTACTGAAATCCCTGTTGAAATATATCCAAGGAACAAACATCAAACTTAAGATCTTCATTCACTGAAACTAGAGAAAGACCATGTCTCATACCACAAACTCTTGATGATACAATGTTTTGAACCACAAAGTGAGAAGGCACCAGCCATTGACGTGGCTTGCTTTAGTAAGAAATTCTGAAGGATCCTTTTCACCTGCAAGTTAGAGAAATGAAGATTGGGGATGAGAGAATAAATGGGGAGCTCCCCACTTAGGGTCCATTTCTCCTCAACGACAGCCATTCTTAACTTGTAACTGGCGGTGGAGTTGGGGCAAGATCTGGAAACAAGACCATGTAGCAGGAGAATCACAAAAGCGCAGTGTAAGAACCAGCTTTGCTGCTGGGATCCAAAGTCAAATGTACAAAGAAAAATGCACAATCATACCAAAAAGGGCCTTCAGCCATAGAACTTGATAGAGATTTCTCAGCTGGGAAGTAAATTCACTCCATAATTGGAATTGGTTAGGACTGGCCACTTTAGAATAATAATTAATACTTTTTTAGTCTTTCTTACGTGCCCAGCACTGTTCTAAGCCTTTACACGTACTACTTATTTATAGCCCCTCAGCAACCTGTGAGGTAGCTACTATCCATAACCTTGTCCTACAGGTAAAGAATCCAAGGTACAGGGTTTCAGTAACTTCAAGTCACCCAGCTGGTAAGTGTTAGAGTTGGGATGCAAACCTAGGTGGCCAGGCTGGCACCGAATCCACGAGCTTCACCTTGACTACACCTTATGGCTTTCCATGCTGTACTGTGGGGGGAGTATGAAGACAAAGTTCTTAACAAAGATTCCAAGCAAACTTGAACTTCTGTAATATAATTTAGCCTTTGTGTCTCTATAGAAGTATAATGACTAAGAGGAAAAAGGTAAACTGTTTTGAGAGCAGAAGATTATGTTTAGATCCTTAGGAAATAACTTCACTAAGATGACGAAGCAGCCACAGATCTCAGGGAAACACTGAGCAGGGTGCCTGGCCTTTAGAGCCCAGAGGGCTCACTGAAAACAGCCTCTGGTCGTGTAGACTACAGTCATCAACCCAGGTCTTTCTGGAAACGGTTGATGCAGGGCTACTGACTTGTAAGTCTTCATCTGGTCAATCACATACAAACGTCCTAATTTTGAGGTTTACTTTGTGCCAACCTAGGAATATTCTAGAGGTGATATTATTAATGTATTAGCTTAAAACTTAAAGTTGATACATTCTGAAAATTGTACTTTGGATGATGGAAATACACACGAAAGGCAATTTGACCTATCCTATTAAACTTGCTCTTTTTATACATTGTATTTAAGATGGTATGTTGTAAAAATGAAATAATTTGAAGCATTTAAAATCTGCCTGATACGGAAATAAAGCACAAGATACAAGATAAGAGATTTTCTTAAATGGAAAAAAAAAATATGCACAAATAGTAAAACATTGAAATGGAATCTAAATGGGGTCAACTAATCAGGTCCACATTTTTTTAATAAAATGGAACAATGAGATCTCTAAATTCAACCACTATTTAAGTTAAAAAAAACAAAGCAGCACAAAATCTGCTAAAGTATTCTACTAATAGATTTGAAGTTCTGATTTCCAGGCTAATGAGGACTAAAAAGTGTTGCTTCTCTTCCAATTCAGAGAATTCCTGAACAGAGACCATTAGTTATGTTTCAGTTTGTCTACCATGACAATAGATTGCCTATTTGGCTATCACATAGAGTAGTGTCTGGCACATAGTAGAAGCTTAGGAAATATTTCTTAATGGTAAACACATTTCTAGACTCAATAGAAAATTATTTAATGGGAAATCAAAATTATACCTTTGTGGGGCCGTCCCTGTGGCCAAGTGGTTAAGTTCGCATGCTCTGCTTTGGAGGCCCAGGGTTTCACTCGTTCAGATCCTGAGTGTGGACCTAGCACCACTCATCAAGCCATGCTGAGGTGGCGTCTCACATAGCACAACCAGAGGCACTCACAACTAGAATATGCGATCATGTACTGGGGGCTTTGGGAAGAAGAATAAAAAATTTAAAAAAAAAGATTGGCAACAGTTGTTAGCTCAGGTCCCAATCTTAAAAAAAAAAAAATTACACCTTTGAAGAGGAGCTGACTTATTCTCAGGCATGTTGCTCAAGTGTTCAGCCATTCCTAGAAAGTAAAAATGGCTCTACTGGCAATTCTTGACTTAATGACAAGCTGAAAGAGAGCAAGATTCTTTCTGAATAAAGACAAGGGCTTTTTCTAAGTAGAAAAATTGTCCACCAGCTAAGTAAGTAAACTGGAGCAATTTAATATCAGCTCCTTTCTTGGTATTGTAAATATGTGGTGGTGAAAAGTATGAACAATGTACAGTGTGGTATGATGTGAAGAATGTTTAGAGATTAGACATGTTCTCCTCTTCCCTTGGCAACTGAGAAAGCTGGAAGTAGCAGCTGGGGATAAGGTCTAACAAATGGAAAAACTTCAAGGAAGAAGTTATTTTACTCAACTTAGTAGATTTATGAATTTGGAAAAGGACGCTATTTAAAATTCAAATAAATATGACCTGTATAATGGTAAATCTTGAGTACTCTAACTTGTTTTGTGA